CTGATTCCGATTGTTCATGAGTCTGAGGCTTCTAACCTTTAGTATGCAATTTTTGTGCGTTTCTTGTATAAGAGTTTTTGGCTCTTGACGGACTCCTAATGGACAACAATGAAATAAGTACTAAGGTGCAAAAGACATTTGGCTATAGATGGCTTGCGTCTCTATCATCACCCATTCTCTTCGACCTTACAATCCTAGGAATGAATGTTGAGTTGCCTTTAAGTATACCACTTGTTGGCAATTACCACCCGGTCTGAACTGCCTTTCAAAGCAGTTCTATAAATTCCATTGACTAACTGCAGCTCCGCGTTCTCCCTAAGAGATATCTAGAGCCTTTTTTTGTAAGGAGAAGAAATGTGCTGCTTTTTTTTATCACTAAGGAGATTCGACTTACAATACATTGGGATTCGCAAATTCCGCTCAGAAAAGATTTACTAGGTTGATGCAAAAGTCAGGAGAGTCGAATGCGATTTTGGATTGATTTCCAATTTTTTAGATTCTCACATACCGAGCTACAGTAGCGCTCAAAAGTCTTCGGTGAAATGGTTCTTCAGCCGTCCTTTTGAGTCGTAACTCTTTTCCTACTGGACATAATCATGCGAAATTTCTATATTTTGAGCGTGGGTGTACTGTGAATATTTACCACTATTAACCTGCAATCTGATTCCAAAGGGCATGAAAATAAAATCGACTTAAAATACGGATGATGGTCCTTCTGAAATCTCTTTCCTTTTCGTCATGTCAAAAGTGTACGAGCGGTAATGCCGAACACTATAGATGAGAAAAATGCTCATAAGGTGCGAATAAGTGCAGACGTCAACAACTTTACTTTTGGCAAAATCAGCTACCGCAACAAACACCTTGCTCTATCTGTGGATGTTGCAGCTTCGCAGTCAAATAGTGTTGGGTAGGGTGAAATATGCTCTAGTTAATCATATCCAAATTTCGCGCGATTTGGTTCACTAAGAGAAAAGTCATGAACGAAACAGCGTCAAAGCATTCAACCGAAGACTTTTGAGCGCTACTGTATGTGAACAGGTACCAACACTACCTTTAGCAATCATCATCTTTGTGATGTAGCTTACAGAATGTCCTTCGAGCGTTCCAGAACTGTAGTATTCCTTCTGCTGCAACACGAAGAATCCTACCGCTCTAAAACTATCCAGAAGTGTCGTTACAAGCTATATGATTAACATAGCTAAGGACGATTAAAAGAAAGCCTTAGTGAGAATGAGCATCCTATTTGAAGATATTATACAAAGTCTTGAAGGGTCCATCAAAGAAAATCACTGCATCTACCGAGATAGCATCATCTCAGCAAATACGATGTTTCTCCTCTATGGATCGAAGCATGAAGCAGGAAGAAAACGTCTAAACTTGTTCACGAGTCGTTGTTCTACTGAAAAGAAAATTAATCTCGATAGAAAGCGGTGCAGAACGATTGTGTCCTCTCGGATGTAGATCGTTAATAGTGTGGAATTATACTGATGTCCCTGAGCTCATTTGCTTTCAATGAAAAGGGCTAACTGGAGTAGAGGAGAACACTTTCTTCCATAGAAATCACGGGATCGAGATTGAACGCATCTTTGATGACTCGACATTAAATTACTGAAAATTAGTTGAGAATTGTTATGGCATCCATCGTAGAACCCTTATCTCGTGCCATTCGAATACCCCTTGATACGGGCGTTGCAGAGGTCATTGAATGAGAGAACCTTATTGAAGATGAGGATATCAAATCTTACGTATCCCATTTTTTGTCAAAAGTTTTTGAGAGGGAGAAACTTTGAAATCACCTCAAGCATTGCAAAAGAGAAACGAATAGAAAGAGGTTGAGGTCCATTCATTAAGAGAAAAAAAACCTTTTCGAAAAGCTCAAAATCCCAAATACTTCCGAACGACCCAATTGCTCGAACGCACTGCAACTCATTGTCAGACGTAGTAGCTCTTGGTCTCAATTTTTCGTAGGCGCTCGTGACTCAATTATTCCCTTACTGTCATTTTTCAGCATTCAGTCTGTGCTATTGAATTTAAAGAATGTCGATCTTGATCATAGCACGCCGCTAGTTACCTATACGCTCCCCGGGTGATTTCAAAATGCCTATAAAGTTCTTTTTCTTTTCCTCTTCGCAAGTTATCGTGATAAAACAGTATGTGACACATTCTTTATTCGTTGTTCTCGTAGTGAAAATTTTTGAAGATTCTGTGACAGAATACCATATACGTCTATGTAAAAACTAAAGTTATCTCACTTTGAATACAAGGCATATAAACGTGAAGAAAATTGAAGCGAATTTGGCGGATGAGGAAGGAAACGAATCGTCTAAAGCACGAAAAGCCGTGAATTGCGATAAAATCAACATAAAAGGAACATCCCAGTTTGAAGAAAAGTTTTGTAGAATGCAAAATTTCGCCTCCCACAACGCCCGAGCCGCGCTCTCTTTCGCCACTGCTCCAGGCCATCGCTGACAACCCGATGCATCCATGTCTTCTGTGTTGGCCTAAGTGCCCACCAAAAATCATTTTCATAATCCCGTCTTGAGAAGCAGCTGATTTGGATGCCAGATTTTAGATCATCACTTGAAAACAAAACAAATCTAGATGTATAAGTCCATTTCAAATGCCCACACCGATGCGATTCACGCGTCAATGTAATGAGGTCATCGCACAAAACGCGCTAAAACATCGTGCGTACCATCATAATGGAAGAAATAAGAACCTAAAAGTAGAATAAGTAGAAAAATGACCAACTATGCACGTTTACAGAAGGATTGCATTTTCTAGGATCAAGAAATTTAAAGTTACTCTTATTTTGAACGTTTGACAAGTAAATTGTTGACCTATGAGGTGAATTCCTAATCTCGAAAGGGCTTCATTGCCATAGTAAAGAGATTTGCTCTAATTCATGGTGAAGCCGTGGACTACTGCAAATTTATTTGGTCCATCTCAACAGAAAGGTTTTGAAACGATGCCGCGTGCGCGAAGAGCTTCAATGGGGTCACGCGTGAATCGCCCCCCCCCCCCTCGACTCGGGATCTTGGCTCGAGACCCCCTCTACGTGGTCATAAAGACCTTCCAGACGAAAGATAGTCGTTTACAAGCTAAGTAACCGTGTGATAGCAATAAATGGTCGGGAAACTGAAAAGCAAAGCCAAGCAGACATATTTAAGCACCCTTCTCGACATAGTTCGAAAGGCACGGTATCGTTGCTGCACAGAAGGCTTATATGACGCGACGACATATACTATGGAAAATAAAGGAGCCTATGCAAAATGAATCTACCTTGCCAAATATTACATTCATTGGCGTTTCCAACGACTGCACAAGATCCCAGTTTTCGTTGTCAAAACTATCGAAGTTCTGGGAAAACAAAGATTCAACACACAACTATGAAAAAGACTAACAACTTATAAATAATCCGAATCTTATATGTAATTATAAGCTATGTCCGCTTCGCTTTCCACGAAAGCTAGTTCGAGCTTCACAGGTTGCTTGAGAAGTATAGAAAGAAATTCTTCCGTGAAACCAAACATCCAGTAAATGCGACGGATATCGAAGCGACGAGAGTACTGCAGGAAGCCTGCCACCGTGACCACATTACCTCTGCGTTTGATCACAAGCTAAATAGTTTTCTGTTATTATAAATGGTTCCAAATACTAACATTTGAGAAATAGCTGTCGAAAATTCCACAATAGTCACAAATTTCTCTGATAAGGCGCGGGAATTTCACAGAAATACGATAATTGTACGCTAAACTCCTGTATGAGAACAAAATATCTGAATATTTCATATCGCATATCGCAGCCGGTTGATCGAATTCAGATCAGAATTCATCATCTACATTCCTTCTGCCAAGTCTGAAATCTTGGAACCGTGAATTGACAGACAGCTCAGAAGAGATTTCGATACTAGTTCCATGGACTTAAAAGCAGAGCATCGAAATCGAACTCGAGTATAAACACGAATACTTACTTTGCATCCAATATGAAATCAAATATGCAAGGAAAAGAGACCCAAACGTGTAGAGCTCATACAAGTTAGTAATATCCTTATATTGCAATTCCATAGCAACTTAGCATGCACATTTCAAAAAAGTTTGGATTATGCAAAGTTTCTGTCAGGTACTTTTTTAACGACTTCATATTATAATAAACTATATAACCAATATTTATTGTTATTATAAGTATCTAATGTCGGGGTCGTCATGCTGGAGGGTCTTCCCTTCTCGTCGCATGTGATGTGTATTATACTGAAAGCCCGATCAAAAGACAATGATTGATAGCGAAAAAAAGACGATTCTAGGAATAACCTTGCTGAAAAAAGGATGCAGGATGCTTTGCATAAAAGAGAGTAACGACGCCATTTGGAAAAGACTACCCGTGAGATGGCGTAAAAGTGACAGTAGAAAGGAGTAGAACTTCAATAAGCTCTCAGATAAAATATCTGACAGAAATTGGAGAACGAGGCTCCATTTTCGTTAATTCACTGGCAACAGTGGGTGGAGAAACGATTTCAGCTAGACTTGTTCGATTTAATAGTAGAGTGTTACATAGCTCCTAAGCTCGCAGATGCTCCTTACAATCACTACTATCATGATAAAAATTTACTTGAAAAAATCGTATAAAAAATTCTAGACCTCTCTGAATACCTGAGATGAACTCACCTCCTCACCAGAAATTACCACATTTTGGGGGAAAAATCCACGTATAAATCGGCGGATAACCTCGTCGTGCACAACCATGAGCGGTTGTGATTGTCTGAATCCTAAACGAAAAAAAAAACTTAGACGGAGGTTAGTGGGTCAAGAGTATAATCACGTAATTCCATCATTATGGGGGAGTTTCTAGTCGAAAAATCAATACATTAACTCCGTCTGATAATACAAAATTCCAAACCTTCTAAATTCTGTGAATGCCATGATAACCACGACTTTCGAACACCGATATGGTGCGGCTTCTGCGCCATTTCATAGGTAAGCAGCTGTGACCGATTAGTCGTTGACTGAAAATATGAAGTCACAAAATTGTGCTTTAATGACAATGCATATCAAAATCAAACGATAACAATAATACTACAACTATGTAGTATTTCTTCAGCAGTTTATTTTCTGCTCAACTTGAGTTTACTTGTTCAGTTCAAAAGAAGGTAGGAATTCAATAAGGTCTTGAGCATTCAATTGAAAGAATTGAATTGACATTTTCCGCCTGTAAATGATGGAATAAGGCGTAACAGTAGAGCACGCAGAAGGTAACCTCAGTGCTGTGGAACGTTCGAATCGCGATTTGCAATTCATCCGGTTTCCCCTCAGGTTCTAGCCACGTCTTCAGGTTTCAGAGAGAGATAGCGGTAAGATCCTTACGAAAGGCACAGTACGTGGAATTCAAGGCTCCTCTAGACACGGACGGCTACGACGACTCGATGCACTCGTCCCCCTATGCCAACTCCACTGTTCCATGGTTCGCTGCTGGAAGTCGTGGAGGTAACCATGTATCCATCACCTCTCTTCGTCAAGAGCCTATGGCGCCACCAACTGCGCTCCGTTTTTCTCGCCGACATTATACACTGAAATCGCATGTTCTATGGAATCTGATCCACCGATATCGGATTTGTTAGGAAAATGGTCAATCATTTGAATGATATAGTGTTGTGGCTGGAACACGTCAGGCTGATCTTCATGGATACAAATGATCCTTCTGGGTCGGGTCGTTATTCGACTGAGGACTAAGGTGCAAAAAAGGAGTTATCAATCATACTATCGAGACAGCTGTAAAAGCTGAAATTCGAAATAGTTATGAGACACCAATAACAGCTGATTGGGGCCATATCACCACCGGATTTCTCGCTTTTTTTTCTAAATAACTCTAGTTTCCAAATATCGTTATCAACTATCCGCGGAGTTATCGAATCAGTCAGTGAGATAATTATTGTGTCTTATTGTGCATCAACTGCAAATCACGAATGGCAAAACTCTGCTGTAACTGCCTCACCTTGCTGCTATATCCGACACCAAGCCATCTTTGAATGCATTGAGGGACAGGGAATAAGGGACTTTGCTGTATAAGCTGAGGAATCGAAGAAGAGAAGGTATGGGCATGCGGTTTCCTGAGGACCGTTGGATGAGGGCGGATACCTACTGGGTTTCGGCTTCAAACGAACATCAGGAGGGCAGCCAGTTTAAGGCCAATTTGCCTGCAAAAGGAATGATTCCTTCTTCATAGGTCGAGAGAGCATAGTCAGTAGAATACATCAGGTTACAACATTGCCGATTAGGGATGTACTAGCATCAACTCAAGCAAATTGATGTACAAGGGACGATAGGCGACAAGCGATCTAGTCGACCCCTCCCCCACCTAGTTTCACACTTTTTTCACAAATCCGCTCAAAAATCTCCTAGAGAAGTTGACAGAAGTTGAATAATCCGTCCGCAAAAGCTGCTGCAAAACTAAAAAGTAGCAAAGGGACAAGGACATTGTCTCTTCTTCAAATAATGAAGAAACATCAACTTTTCCTGTTCTATACTCATTGAAAGCCCTTACTATGTGTTATAAGTTGAAACAGGAATCATCACGAGAAATATGCCAACTTACTCTGTACTTCCCGGCTTGGTTCTTATCAAGACGTGAAGAAGTAGCAATACCTCTAGTGAGAACTGACGGTAAAGGTCGAGCCGATGAACAATTGGTGGTAAACATTATCACCAGAAATCTGGAACTCGAACATTTCTCAAGACAGCAGATTCAAAGCTGAGCAACGAGCACTAGGAATTACGTCCCGGAACAATAGCTTCCCTTAGAGAAACCCAAAAAAGGATTATGAACACTACTCCTCAAATTCATTAAAATTTAAAACAAGGCTTGCATTTAGATTGGTACAACATATTGTTATTAGAGCGCGCAATTGCTGGGTCCGTATGGAACGGGCATGAATCCTGTTTAACATTAATCGCACACAACTGCATAAAACATTAGACATCATTAGAAGGAATAATAAATCTGGGTGAAAATGTAGTTGGGGGGTGCCAGCGCCCTTTTGTGCTCTGCGTTTCTTCAGTTCTTATCTAATCTATTCATTCCACCCATCCCGGAGCTCCTCCCTTTCTAAAAGTTAGGGAGGGATCTCCACGGTGCGTGAACCAGTTGGATGTTCATTACTTACCCCATCCCAGCTTTTTGCACGAGATAATCATCTCTTCCACCCCGGAGCTCTTCCCCTAACTTTTAGAAGGGGAGAAATTCATTTCTGCGATCTCTATGCACTTTGCCGCCGGTGTCAGAGAAGCAGAGCACAAAAGGGCGCTGGCAGCCCCCAACTACATTTTCACCTAAATCTGCATTATCAAGCCACTTTCATACAAAAACTCTGCTATCCAGAGCTATTCCGACTAAGCATTAAAACTGTGACATATAAGGTGATGTTAATGGAACGAGCCTACCTCAGAATTCCTAGACACACTCAACGAACGGCTACACTTACGTTGTCCTCAATCTATCTGGCTAGCATATCAAGTTTGAGAAAAACGCTTACGATGCAGTATTGAAGGTATAGATGCCGTCTTAGTCTTTCTCCTTTTGGACGGCCTGGTAGGGCCCTGAGATTTCAGCAGCCTCTCCCGGACGGCCCTTTCGGACGCTACAGTAGAGACTGGGTGGATTCTTGGCAGTTACCCAGGGTGTTTCAAAGAGGATAAGGTCCCGAATGGCTTTCACTTCCCAGCCACTCGAATGCAGGGGCTCCCAGATGCTCGGCCTTATTGGAGACGCCACAGTTGGAGTATAAGGGTTTATTCGTCGTAGCCATCCCTTTTATGAGGACAGATCCGTCCTCCGTGATCCTTGTTCGTCTTCTCCATTTGCACGTTTACCATCCTCCCCTTCACTAAGAGTTGCTACCCAGGGTATTCCAGAGAGGATAAAGCCCCGAATCGCTTCTCCTCCAGTTCCCAACTACTTGAATGCAAGCTTTCAGCTGATATGGGGTACCAACAGTGCCCGTAAACTCTTCACGCACGTATGCATGGATGAACAAGGTAGATATCGAACCAACACATTGGATACATCGAGTCCATCTCCTGAATTCACCTGCGTTTCTTGTCAAATACGAATACTACATATTACTATATAATACTGGTAGGTAATTTCAAGGATGACTTTCATGTGCACGTTGCTGCGGTCCCCTTGGTACCCCCGGGTTACTTCACTTGCATTGCAGTAGAAGAAGTATTTACACCATGTCTCTTCCTTGGGTACACCGCCTTGTTAACTGAGCAAGACTCTTGACTATTACGATGCTTGCTCCATGATGCTAACGTTCGCTGGTGAAACTGATGAATACAATCAAGCACAGTTGGTAGTGGACATCCATCGAAGCAGCCGTTTTCGATGGCGATTTGAAATTCCGTGACACGGTACTCCCAATTCCCATGGAATATCTGAATTCAATCAAACTCGGGTTCACATCCCTTCCAAATACACTAGACTATAATTAAAGAACTTTTATTCTGAAGTAGGCTAAGGTGCAATGTAAAACAATTATTTTTTTTCAAACGAATACACGCATGTGGACGACGTCAATTTGTGAAATATAGAGCTTGTGAGTAATGTAACTACTTGAGGAATATTGTAACAAACTAATGCGTTACTTCATGTTCATCAACGTGACACAAAACGTGACTTCAACAAAAGTGAAACATGATTTACTGCACATGAAAAATATCACCGGATGGTAAGGCAGGAAGCTGAGTAAGTTTGTGCTTGGAACTTCCAGTAAGTATAGATTTGGAATAGGCAAATTAGGATTCAAAGTGTAAAATCTGGTCAAAGATCTTTTCTGAATTAATATACAAATGTAAATGCTCAAGGGCGACAAATCTTTTAGTGGCGCTCCACAAACTCGACCACTTCGTCCTTCGGATGATCAACAGCCCACTTCACGTGTAACTCTGCCGTTTTCCCGTCTTGCAACGCGATGGTCCACTCGAGAATACCACCTTTCAGTCGGCATCCTTCTTTGGGTAATTCTGCCGCAGTCGTTAAATCTCCTGAATCAAGGACTGGACTCACATAATTTTTTAAAGGAGTTATCTAAAGGAGAGGAGCAACCAATTGAGAGTTTATACCTTCTCCACTGTTCACTGCCTCGTCGGTCTGTGACACTACTGGGGCAATAAGCCTCACCTAAACAATATCAATTAGTATCAAGGGTTCCTAAGTGCAGTAGAGGCCATTAACTAATGTGAATCAATATGCGACAAAAAAAATTACTTTAATCTTGTCATCAGTGCTTCTCGGAATCTGCTCCTTGATCGTCAGCAATACAGGTTGCGCACGCGAGTTCTTGACGACTATTACCTGCTCATGAACGTTGGAGGAGCTCTTGCTGATGAGGCCGACCTAAATGGGTTTATTTGCTTGCAAAGTGAATGAACGCGAAACGAACCAACCTGCTCATGGTATTTTTTGACTGGTTTGTATTCTACACGTAGGGCAGTATCTACCCCAAGAGAGCAGGAGAATCTTTCGCCAGGAGATACGTTCTTCATGTGAGTCTGGAAGAATAAAATAATTGGGTATAGCTCGGCACCAATGGTTCGATTCCACAGACAATTTTCGGCTTTTTACTGGATTTGTCGATATTTATAAGAAAATGACTGCACCTTTGCAACGAAACTGTTGTTGAGGTAAACAGCTGCACTGCCTGGTAAAAATGGAAGTGCCGACGAGTTAACTGCAGAAGCAGTGAGGAAAGTGCTAGTGTTTTTGCATGGAACACACTCATGTATCATCTGAGGAGTAACGTCAACAACTCCAATCGTCACCTAAATTGTGTGTATGTAGGCAGGAAAGAGAATTTTTACATCCGAGCATTTTGTACCTTGTGTTCGGCGCCATCTGATGGAATGGCCGCTGGCTTGGTAATCATGAACTCCGTGCTTAATGCGTGTTGAGCAGGTTCCACAACACGAGCCGCCTACAATGAAGCGAGCGCCTAATAACGATAGAAAGGGGAATGCTAGCACACCTATAAAAGTTCACCTCAACATGCATTGGAGCACTCTCAAGAACCATATCATTCTGCGCTGAAGCGAAAAGGGATCCTGCTGCCATTGGTGCTGCTCTCAACCTGTAAACGTGGAATTATCCAACCCACGAAAACTTTTTCATTCCTCCTTCTATGAAAACGCACATTTTAGTTCTGGCCATATACGGCTGTGCAACGGGTGGAGGTGGAGGACGATAGAAAACAGCTTCCAAAACGCCAAGTTCGGGAATTTGTCCACCAAGGCAAGGCTGAGCAGTAGAAAGTACCTAAAGAAGCTTTTGATCGATTCAGAACTGTGACACTAAATACATGAGAAGGGTTCCCAGCGACCATAAAAGAACTTACAAGTGAAGCATTAGTCCAATCTTCTCCTGTTGATTGAGATATATTCCCAAAGTAAGTGATCTGCAAAGGATTAACAAACTTTTTCGTACGAAAAATGACGATTAAAGAACTCGATTCGAAAGGAATGGATGAAATAATTCTTACCTTGAGAGATTGCTTTCCACTTGTGTCAACACGCAAGTCATAGCTGGGACTCCAATGAGCGCCATAGACCTGGTAAGACAATTCTAGCTGCACAGAGCCACCCTTTTCGCTTTCTAAGGTAATTACGATCAACCTAAAAAAGATGATGACGATATAGAGCTATTCATAAGCACAAAAAAAGTAGGATCATTCAAAGAGTTGTTAGAGCTTCAACAACATGGACGCGCCTCAAGAGCAATGCTTTCCTGCTCTTCATTTATGGAATCCTTTCTTTCGTTGAGGTCATAAGAGCATTACTCTTTCAAATAATCTACTAAAACAATTCCAGTATCTATCAACTGACTTGCTGAACTGATTCGCTCTGTGGTCGGACTCAGCTCTGTTCAGTTCCGCTTCTAAGGCTTCCAACTCTCTTTCGCTTTTCTCAAGTACCTTCTTGGCTTTGCGCAGTTCTAAAACATGAGCGAATAAGTGTAGAAACGAGAGTCTCACTCGTTCAACCGACTAATTAAACATCCTTCAGATTTTGACCGAGTCTTTTCAGCTAGGTCATGGATTCCGTTCAAAGTTTATAAAATAGCCCTCATTATTTGGAAGATCACCGAGAATAGCAAGGGTATCAATAATGTGCCAACGCCTTTACAAGAAGGTACCCTTAATGACAAGGGACGGAGCTGTAGAACAACTCACCCGCGCGAACTGCGGTAGATCTTTCTTCGTAGTAGGAATAAAACTGTGTGAGACTTTCCAATGTTTCATTGTTAAGAATGAAGGGTTCTCGTGAATCCTTCGGCGGACAGACCACATTGTTTCCAGCCTAGAGGACATAAATACATACGTAAGACGACGTATTAGAGTAAAAATATATAGATATTGTAGGTATTAAGATTTCTTGACAATAAAAAAAGTGGTAGTTACTGTTAAGTGGTAGTTATTTTTGTACGACCAGAACTCACTCCTTCGACCAACTTGTCCAACACTTCGACTCTTTTCTGAACAACACTCACACGATCCTTGAGCTCATTGACTTCCTGCAACTTACTNTCGTGCTTTGCGCGTATCTCGGCCACCTGAAACCCAGTAGTTCTTTTCATCTTGCAATACAATCGAAACAATCGTAAGTAATGCCTTAGGTGAATCAGTGTCTTCATGAATAGCGGCCTTCTCAGTGAGTTGAACGTCGTGAATGGTCCCGTCGCCTCGACCGTCCACACGGACTGAGTCATGGATGATGTTATGGGTGACATTCTGGAATAAAAGGTTTTCTGAATTGGCAACCTGAACAAAGGAAAAACTGTAGAGCCTATAAGTCCGAAAAAACGCGAGCCCTTAGCAACCAGACCAAGTTTAACCACCAATACTCGGTTCACGACAGACTTCAAAGTTTGAAAATTGGTAGCTTGAGCATGTAGCCAACAAAAGTTTTTTATCAGTACAACACGAACGGAAATATAAAAAACCCAGCTCAACAACCCGACACAAGCTCTGCTGAAGGGTGGACATATAATACCTGTAACATGCGAAATGGCAAACTCAGAATATTTCATGGATAACTCCAGATCATCATAAATTCTTTCAACGTGGGCTGTTGTAGTGTACAAGCTTTCACAATGCACAACAAGGACCGGCATAATTACACAAAAATATTGAAGTTTCTAGAAACTTTGACCGAATATACAGTACGGGCACTCAGTTCGTAGAATATTTCGGTTTCGGTCCTGACTCTGCGTCAAACGAGCGATCGCTATGCAACGTAGAATCCCACCTACCTAGTACACCCACCCATTCTCCTTACCCAAGGTACATTTTGATGTGTCGTATATGTGATGGGTAAGTATCTCTGAATTCAAATAGAGTTATTCCGTAAACGGAAATAGGACGACCGTGAAATTCTGCGTCCATTGCATTTAATTTCTTCGTAAAATTACTGTAAGAATCGAGGGGTCGTGCTGATTGATCATTCTGGGAAACCTTGCTAGAAAGCGACGTCTCTGTGGCATTTGATCGATTTCGACTGATATCCACTTTTGGTACGTTTTTTTCGAAACTGTGTTCAAACGAGAATAAGTAACAAAAACTGTTGAAGTGGCGAAACTACACTCAACAATTCATCCTGCTGAAATGGCGTATGATTTCCCGTAGCATTCTATAAGGTTTCCCATACAATGTTCATTGTTTGCAATCATAAGGCAGAGAGGAAAGTATAAATGCCAAAATTATGTCAAAATATGATGAGTTGTAGCTAGATGAACAGCTTGGGATACAGCGCTTAGCATCTAACAATGAGAGCTAGTAAAAAGAACGGCTCTATCATCAGAACTGCAGCCTTTGGACTGATTAGCCCGTTCGCAGCATTCAATTTTTTGATGGCCGTTATGCTTATCTGCGTTCGTTTCCCCTTAAATACGACACGAACGTCCTATTCCCATTGACATTTCGAACATCCCACGACATAGAAACACTTTACACTAACCGTTCAAAGGCTAAATCACACAAACCAACTACAGGCTTTCTTCCCGGGGTAATAGAAGTAGTACTAGTATGAAACGATAGTGGGATTTGCTGCGTTCATACTATCCGCTGGCCGATAAGCGATAGGTGACAACGTTACATCGATCGATATTCCACGTGAACGATAACCCGTGCAATTTACGATAGAGCTTCGCGCCTTCCTCCATAACATAAGCGTAGCAAGCCTGTTTGGCTTCGCTCTTTTTTGTTTATCAGCTAATTGAACCTTGGCATTGATTGCTGAGAAGTTAGCGTCTAGAAGCCAAGTAGGACTGTATGATTGAGTGACTAAAAGGTGTGAAATTCAAGCATGAGTCGCATGGCCTACCGATCAGGTGACACACCCATCGATACTGAAGCTGTTCCCCGTCCATTACCCACCACTAAGTATGAACGTAGCCATTGTGGTTGGGACTTGGATCCCTACTGAACATCTGTTTCTAGTCGTGCTTATTGAGTGCGCCATGGTGATGGTGCGTGTGCTATGCGATTGCGCGGTAAACTATTATATAAATGCATCTAACTCTATCGGTCTGACAGCTTGTTTGGAATTCACGATCAAATGCATCGTACCCTAAGAAGCCCATGTCTTTCAGGTCGGATTCCATGAGAATAGACCTTATACTTGTTTAAGAAAGTAGCAATGGAGAACTCACCTCAAGATGAATTTCGTTGAATCCAGGCTGCAGTTCACAGAGCACTCGACGTTTGAGTTCGGCTCTGTCGTTGAATACGACGACCTTTTCCAAGGCCTGATCCCGGCACTCCTTTTTCTGCACGGAAGGACTAGACATTCTGAAGAAATGGTAGAGAGAGGGATAAACTGGTATATGACGATTGACATATTACAGTGGAAACTGTGAGAATTAAGAAAAAGAGCCTTCGGGTAAACGAAATGGACTCAAGAAGCACTGTTGTTTTCCACTCCCGTAAAGTAAAAACATAATGCAGTTTCCACAATGTCCAGTTTATTTACACCTATCCCCGGGCTTCGAGATTTCATGGGTTTACTGCTTTCGCTCTCTGTGAATGGCGTGTATGAAAAAATGGACGACAAATTTATGAAACCGTCCGATTGAGAGAAAAAATGGAAACGGCATACACTATATACCACCCTGTTGAGAACGGGTCCCCGCTGCTTTGTAACCAAGGTGACTGGCCAAAACAACGGAAACATCAGCAGCCGCCATATCTAAGGTAATGCGTGAAGAGTACGTTCACCCGAAGTCCCCCTTTGAAAAGTCAATCGGATTCCTTGGAAAACTTGATGGAACTGGTATTTCGAAAAGCATTTAGACCAAAAGAGTACGCAATGTGTGTGTGTGGTGAATGTGTCGTAATGTTTACGAGGCACCATTTTGCGACAAAGTCACCAACAGTAGAATCGGCCGTTGATTTGTTTGATCAGTGGGAGAGTATTGCGAAAAGGGCGATGATTCGCTGAAATGGCAGAGGCAGTGTGAATCTCGCAGGAGAACGGCGCTAGCGAGGGTCAATTTCACGTAGCGACGGAGAGGAGGGCAAAGATCAGTGCGGAGTTGAGTCAGCACGACGTCGTAAACGGAGGCGTCTGCCAAATTGTGCTCTGTGTTCCGTTGAATCAGCCCACCCCGGTGATCACGGGAAAACCGTCGGTCTAGGGGCTGAACTCCGATAAGCCGAGGATTTCGAAGTATTTCGAAACAAAGCAGAAATAATTTGTCATCATTGACATCATTCACTAAGAAAAAGGTCCTACAGGTACTCCTAAATTCATTGAAAAATATTGCCTGTAATGCAGTACATTAGCAATGTTTACGAGACGGAATCCACTGCCGGTATCGACTAATCAGAGCACCAGGTCGGGTCCCAGGGCTGCCCTACCCCTGTGATTTGCACTTCGAGTCAAGCGAAAACAAAACTGTAAACTGTTTTTACTACGTAGTAAAATACAGATAAGTCAATTGACGGAAAAACTGTCTAATTGAAAGAAAACCCCTTAGATAAGATAAGGAAAAGCATAGGAGGCATCGAAGAAAACTCCCACTTGCTTACTATTCATAGGTTTGGTAGCTTTCTAGGCCTACACCACTACCCTTTTTGTACAGTATCTTTGAGTAATTTGACGAAGTAAATTATCGAAAAATGGGAGAAAAAATTCTCAAACAGGGCTCGATTTGTTTCTGAAGGTCGCTAGAAAAAGCCAGGGGGTGTTCAAGCATAGCTACTAACGAACTATTCACAAACTTAAATACGAGCAATATAACTGCTGGAAAATGTGCAAGACTGCCGAATGCCCGATAAAATACGCCCATTGCCAAGTGACTCATCGGCGGCATAAAAAGAAAGGCAAGTCATGGGCTGGACTTTGCAGTTGCAAACAAAGATAACAATACATCACAAATTTCAGATGGAAGTGGGGTCATGGCTTTCAGGTAAAGTTAACTGGTAAGTCTGTTGAAACTATGTACCAAACGAGATGCGTCTAGATATGGGGGCCGGGGGTTCATAGGCTAGGATATCCTTATGACCTACCGACACTTTAGGTTTCAGTCAGGTCTGTGTCATATGGTGGCATGGGGTGAGAATGGAGGGTCATGACGAGGTCTTCTGTTCGATGGTGACAACAACCATTCCTTGTTAATCCTTCTATGATTAGTAAGCTCGCGCGCACAGCAGAGCGTGCCTATCGTCTACTTCTGTGGAGAAACTACCAATTAGAATTAATTTATCTGCAAACAGAGCGACATAGGTAATAAGTGAAACACGAGCAAATACAAGCGAGCAATGGAATATAACAATACAAGGAATGAAGACTAAGAATTCTTCAGACAGAACTGCATGTAGAAGTAGAACATCCCAGTGGAACATGATATTGGTGGCCAGGGCCTCGCCCCCATGGCGGACGCGAGATGGTAGAAGCCGCTCGCCGGTTGAGAACCTCGTCGACTCCCCGATGTCGTTCTCTTGCTCCGCGCTCCGCCCTGAAATTCCTTCATGAGTCATCTGAAAACATCAACATATGATCGCCGCGCTGGTACAGCGACAGCGCGGCCTACA